GAAGTGTGAAAAAAAAATTAAAATAAAAAATTAGTTCAGCTATAAACAATTAGGAGCAATGAGGTAAATTATTATATTTTTTTTGTAGCAACATCCCCTGATATTAGTCGGCGAACTGAAGCTATAACTCGTTATCGTTAACGATGCTAACAAGCATCATCAGCAGCGCTTTGGAGAAATCGTGTAAAGTCGCTGTTGTATTCTGTGAAGAAGTAAAAGCCCAARCAAATAATAATTAGTGTTTTTCAGTAAGTGGCTAAAGTTGAGCTTTGGGGGAAACAATATGATTACAAAAAATGGGAAAGAAGTGCTTATTTTTAGTAAAACATCAGACCAGTATATTTGTTTTAGCATATCTTCACTGTGTTGTTATTGTGATGCAGGAAAGGAATTTCTGAGCAACAGTAACGCTGCTGMTCAGAAACATTCAGTTTGATGCAAAAAACATAAATAGTTTGTAGAATTCAACTGGAGCCAACATGTAAGAACCCCAATTTAAAAAAACAGATGCAGTGGATTTAATTAAAAAAAATTATGTCACATAGTTCCACTCAGCTGAGTTGAGTAAAGGTAACACATTTACTTAATGTTTACTTTTAGTAAATGTATATTAAAAATACTCAAGTACTGTAACAAAGAAAATGTACTGCATTACTATACACCTCTGTAGTGTATAAAGGCAGAGACTTTTTGACAAACAGGTCCATGATCCAATTCTCTGCAGAGACATAAACTCTTTTCTAAAAGAATGTGTTCCCAGGAGCACAGCGGCCTCAATAACAGTTTGGCCAAGCTGCTAAAAGGCCCGAGAGACCCTGGTGGTCACTCTGAGAGCCTGCTGAGGGGGGAGGAAGTCTTGTCCCAAAGTTCTAATTCAATCAGGCTTTAATGAAACAGTAAACGACACGCAGCTTTGTCAAAGTGAATGTAAACATGTGATAGGGTAAAGATTGGCTCATCTTCTGACTGATAGCAACACTGAAGCACGGCGGTGGCAGCACCATGCTCACAGTGGCTTACAGCAAGGAGTGACAAAAGTCTGAATTCAATTAAAATCAGAGGAATCCTTCATTCCTGATGGTGCACTTCTTYTTTTTTCCACAGACGATTCTGCAGCAGATCTGCTTCGTGTCCCACAGGAAGGACTCATCAGCAGAYTCATTTATTAAACCTGATTCTTCTGAACACAAAGTGGACTAACCTCTGYAGCAAATGTAAAAATAATTCAACCATATAAAGCCTAACTCTTAAAAAACAGTCCGAAAATTCTCATTTTTTTAGAACTGATGTTTTTTGGGCCTTTAAACGAATTCCCAATTTTTTTTTGCCACATCACTTTGTTTATGATATATTTTTTGTATCACATCTGATACACTGGGCTGTTTTGGTAACATTTTGCCAGTGGTGGGATGTAACTAATGGTGCGTTCACACCGAACGCGATTTCAGCGTCAAAATCGCAGCCAACGCTGAAGTTTGAAGCTTGTGCAC